GGCGGAGAGGGGATCTCATCAACACATACAAATATCTGAAGGGTGGGGGTCACGAGGATGGAGCCAGACTCTTCTTAGTGGTGCCCAGCAGCAGGACAAGGGGCCATGGGCACAACCTGAAGCAGAAGAGGTTCCAGTTGAACATGAGGAAGAACTTGTTGACTGTGAGGGTGCCCGAGCCCTGGCCCAGGCTGCCCAGGGGGGCTGTGGAGTCTCCTTCTCTGGAGATATTCAACCCCCGCCTGGACGCTGTCCTGTGCCCCTGCTCTGGGTGAGCCTGCTTGAGCAGGGAGGTGGCACTGGGTGAGCTCCGGAGCGCCCTTCCCACCCTTGCAAGTTAAAATAATTATAATTATGATACTATTTTTTCGATGAGGGAACGTCATGCGGGGGACGGCAGCGATGCGAAGCTTCCCACCTCAGCCCCCCTGCCGCTTGCTTGGAGCCGAAATTAACACTTTTTATTTTACCCGCAGATTCTATCAAAAGTTGTCTTAGCCAGCGCAGAACGTCTCTGCTTCTCTGTGGGCAGAGGGGAGATGGCCTTCTCCCCAGTTTGGCTCCACATGGAATATTTCTACCTCCGGGACGACTACCAGCTCTTCGTTGACATAGCAAACAGCAACGTCGCCGTCATAAGCGAGCTGCAGGCAACGTACGAGACGCCCCCCCCCAAAATGGTGAGCAAGGAGCTGCTTTTGCTCTCGGACCCCCTTCTCCTATGGCCTTTGACCGTGAGGGGCTCCGCTGCTTCCGTCACCGAATTCCACACGATGCCGTTCATTAGAGAGCTTCGCGTTTGTGTCGCTCTGGGTACCGCGTTGACGTCTCCTGAGACGCATGGACCCTAGAGGTGGACGGGCTTCGCTGTGTCGCGCTGCAGCGGTGGCCTCCAGCTCCTTCACTCGCCACACCCGTGGGGAGATGGCCGTGCCCCTCCTAAAATGCCCGTTGCTTCGAGCAGCAAGCCAAGGCTTTTAGGGAACTCCCCGTGGCGATGCCAAGATCCTTCTTTCTCCAAGGCGCCCTTAGGCTCATCAGAGTCCTTCCTGGTTTACAAATGCCACAACTTCACCCGTAAAAGTCCGTTTCTTTCTGACTCAGCCCTGCCCACTACTCTAAAAGCTCCACCAGCACCTAGTCAAGCCGTGTCCCTTCCCGCCGTGCCACTCACCGGCGAGGTCAGTCCTTTACCCGGATTTTTGCTCTCTCTTTACCAACGCCGTTTCAGTTTGTCACTCTCGACGCCTTGAAGATTCTCCTGGAGAAAGTGCAGCCCTTGGAAGACGCCCTTCTGCCCTTTGATGCCTGCATCGCGTGGCTCAAAAGCGTCAAGTCCATCAAGCCCTGGGTGGAGTGGATCAGCCTGGACAACTACCAGCTTCAGTTCTACGAGGAGAAGAGGAAACTCCTGGAGAGCGTGTTGTAAGTTCAGTCGCTCCCTGTTGATGGGAGTGCAAGCAGCGTTCTGAAAGTCTGAAGGGCTGAAGGTCAGGTGAACTGAAGCCGCCCTCCTGCCTGGGGAGCCGGAGGAGTCACAAGTCCTCCAACTGTCCACTCCTCCCTGGTCCTTCCTCATCATCACGAACAGGGTGGCTCTACCCTGATCAAATCACTTAATCCTGCTGGAATTGCTCCTTGCATGCTTGATGCTGCCAAAACGCTTCTCTGGAGCGGGGTGAGTTAGGTCCCTCCAGAGACGACACCCAGAGCTGGGCCGGCCGTTTGAGTTCAGCCCAAGGTTGGTGGAAACAAGCAGCATAGACAGGACCGTGACGCATCTTTCTCCCTTTAACGCTATCTCAGAAGGTCTGGTGTCCTCAAGCGACCCCACAATACCAAGGGACAAGTCACAGAAATACCGGTGGGAAGGGACCTCGGGAGGTCTCTGGTCCCACCTCACCAGCATCGTTTGGGGGCTGTGTTTTGCAGACACCGCTGGACCTGCACCAACATTGTCTACATGCTGATCGACCACCTCCTGCACAATGAGACGCAAATCGACGAGAAGCTCCTCAGGCTTGTGGTGAAGCAGTTCATCTTCCTCTGGAACGTAGGTGTTTGTGGGAGCCGCTCACGGCTGGGAAGCTTGGAAAGGCTCTTCTCTTCCAGCAGACCTCTGCTCCCAGCTGTGGGGAGGGCTTAGCAAGGGGAAAAGGCTGGAAACACCAGCCAAGAGCGAAATGTTATTTGGATTCAGAATCCAAAAATGAGGCTTTGGAATCCAGGAAGGCTTTGCTTGAGAGTTCAAAGGGTTAATCCAGGTTGCTTGCCTTCAGAGGTCCACGCAGACGTCCCTACGTGGCTCTGCTTAATTCTGCTGCTAAAATCTGCCCCCCCTGCAGCACTGACACCCCGTAATGTTCATCCCCCGCGTAAACGGAGAGAGATTTCTGCCAAACTTGCACCATGTGTTTATCTTTTGCAGCGCCTCTACACCATGCCGGGATCTGAGCCGGAAAAGACTTTTGATTTGGTGACAAAAGTGCTGAAGAAATGCAACGAGAACGCCGACGTTGTGTACCTGGTGTAAGTCTGGGCTGAAAAAAGTTGGCTTTAGGGTCGTTCTCCATCGATGCAAAATTTGTAAAGGGTGGGGGAAATGCATCATCACTTAGGGGCGAACCTCTTTGGGCCAAAGGGAGGCCACACTGATGAAGCCAAGGGGTGAGAGCCTGTCTCAGAGGTGAGGAATCATCTCTGGAGGAACTCCTCTTAGGTGTGGTGCCAAAGAAACCCCCTCCCCTTCACCCAGCCATCCCCACCATGGACCTCTCTGAGGTGGGATGGTCCTCGTGCAGCTCGGAAGCTGCCAGGCCCTGAAGCGGTGGTGGGTCACTCTGGTTCTCCACTGGCCGTTGAGATATAGCCAAAAGCGGCCACCCAGCTTCATCCCCCACCACCCCAGGGTGTATGTTAGGCAGGAGCCGGCCTACGCCCCCACCTCGAATCTGGCAGCGGCGCTGAGCTGCCTCTTCTCTTGGTGGTGTCTGTCACAGGAAGGGGGTGAAGGAATGCAAGAGCTGCCTGCAGGAGATCACTGACCCGGCAGAACTGCCCTGCAGCCACATCTTCTGCACACAGTGCATCCAGGAGTGGGAGAACAAGCGGTGTAAGATCTGCAAGGAGGAGTTCCCAGAGGATTACACACCCACGGCTTCGGAGGCCACGAGGTATCCCGGCGCTGGCAAAATCCTGCCTGTCCCAAGTGCCTTCATGTTAAACTGGGGGATCGAGGGTGCCCTCAGTCAGTTTGCAGATGACACCGAGCTGGGTGGGAGTGTGGATCTGCTGGAGGGGCAGGGGGCTCTGCAGAGGGACCTGGCCAGGCTGGATCCATGGGCCCAGTCCAATTGGGTGAGGGTCAACAAGGCCAAGGGCCGGGTCCTGCCCTGGGGTCACCACAACCCCACGCACCGCTCCAGGCGTGGGGAAGAGCAGCTGAAGAGCTGCCTGGTGGAAAAGGATGTGGGGGTGGTGGTCAATGGCCAACTCAACACGAGCCAGAAATATGCCCAGGTGGCCAAGAGGGCCAGCGGCATCCTGGCTTGTATCGGGAGTGGTGTGGCCAGCAGGAGCAGGGCAGTGACCGTGCCCCTGTCCTGGGCACTGGGGAGGCCACCCTTCGAATGCTGGGGAACAGTTGGGCTGGGTGAGCTTAAAGGGCTTTTCCAACCCAAACGATTCTGTGATTCTATGGATGTCACATCCAGGAGGGTGGGTGAGACAACGCTTGGTGTCTGATGTGGGAAGGGAGACCTGAGCAAATGGCCGCAGTCCCCGGGGGGCCCAGAGGTGGATGGGTGCGTGGGGGAGAGCGATGTCCCTGCGGCAGGAGAAGGCGGGCGCTGTGCTCTGGGGCGAGGATGGCAGAGGCGGTGCTGAGGGCCAGGGTTTGGTGGTGGGATGGCAGGGTTAGGGGAATGGTTGGGCTTGGTGATCTTCAAGGTCTTCTCCAACCCAAACGATTCCATGATTCTGTGTTTCTGAACACTGGGATAGACGATGCTGGTGCCTGCACAAACGGCTGCCTCGTCTCCCTGGTTTGGGCCCTGTGCTCACTTCGTGTCTTCCCTTGGTTGGAGGTTGACCACGCACCTCGCTTTTCTTCTTCCCCCTCCCCTCCCCCAGGGAAGCTGTTGCCTGTCACAACAAGTTCCGGAGGAAATGCAATTCCTTCTTCATGGAGTTCATCACCATGTACTTTTTGGGCGACAGAGAGCCACCCTCCGCCAAAATCATTCAGCGGCTGATCCAGTTTGTGGCTTGCAAACCCAACCCCGAGCATCAGGCGGGGAAAAGGGGTAAAAGACCTCGATTCCCTTCCACCTGGCTCCGCCCTCGCACTCTTGGAAGTCAACTAATGGCTGTCATCCTTCCTCCCTAGTGTACAAGCCCAAAAGCGAGTTGTCGCCCTTCGAAGAGTGCATGGACACCAGTCCTACCATCCAGTCCTCCCTCCTGAAGCTGCTGCTGCGATGCGGGTCAGCCCCTGGGTTGCTCCCAAACCCCATTCCTGAACGTTTTGGCTACGCGGGTGCTGATGCTCTGGCTCCTTTTCCACCCTAGGTTCAACAACGTCAAGGTCCACTTGGAAGAATACCTGTCCCAGATGGAGGAAAAGCTAATATCCCACCACAGTAGCATGGACGACTTCTACTTCATGGTGGTGCACTGTCTGGAGGTGGGTGCCCGTTGGCTGGTGTGGTGATTTGACCTCAGCTGGGTGCCAGGGGCCCACCAAAGCCGCTCTATCACTCCTGCTTCTTCCACCTCGGGAGAGGACTCTGCCCCTGCTCCAGCGTGGGATCCCTCCCATGGCAGACAGTCCTCCACAAACTTCTCCAACGTGAGTCCTTCCCACGGGCTGCAGTTCTTCACGAACTGCTCCAGTGTGGGTCCCTCCCTCCCACGGGGTGCAGTCCCTCAGGAGCAGAGGGCTCCATCGTGGGTCCATCCCTCCCATGGGGTGCAGCCCCTTGGGAGCAGACGGCTCCAGCGTAGGTCGATAATTTCCATGGGGTGCAGTCCCTCAGGAGCAGACGGCTCCAGCGTGGGTCCCCTGTGGGGTCACAAGTTCCACCAGCAAACTTGCTTCAGTCTGGGCTCTTCTCCACACGGGTCCATGGGTCTTGCCAGGAACCTGATCTGGCGCAGGCTTCCCACAGGGTCACAGCCTCCTTCGGGCATCCACCCGCTCTAGCGTGGGGTCCTCCCTGGGCTGCAGGTGGAGAACTGCTCCACCGTCGACCTCCCTGGACTGCAGGGGGACAGCCTGCCCCACCATGGTCTTCACCAGGGGCTGCAGGGGATCTCTGCTCCGGCTCCTGGAGCACCTCCTGCCCCTCCTTCTTCACTGACCTTGGTGTCTGCAGGGCTGTTCCTCTCACATCCTCTCACTTCTCTCTCTCTCCGGCTACTGTCCCACAGCAGGTTTTGTCCTTAAATGTGTTATCCCAGAGGCGCTTCCACCGTCGCTGATTGGCTTGGCCTTGGCCAGCAGCGGACACAGGGAAAACTTCTGGCAGCTTCTCACAGAAGCCACCCCCTGTAGCTCCCCCCCACTACCAAGACCTTGCTACACAAACCCAGTACAACTGGGAATCCCAACAAGCACCATAGCTTGGAGCCATCACCAAAGCTAAAACCTATTCGTCACATTAATTACCCCTCCCCCCACCCCCCGCCATCTTTCTATGGCTGAGGAACCGAAGGAGGAACTCGCCTTAGAGATGAGGAGAGGGCACAAGGAAGAAGGAGGAGCTGCTCAGTTGTCCCCCACCTTCGGCGGCTTAAAATATTGTCTCTCTCGAGCAGGACTTCATGTATTCTTCTTCGGAAGAAGACGTCAGCCAGCTGGCTGAGAGCTGCCTCTCCACCGCAGACCTGGCTGCTTTCTGCAAGCCTGATGTCTCAAGAATTAACAGCCTCCAATTCATCGCCCAGCTCCGGCTCTCCATCAGCCACGTGGCCACCGTGCTTGGCAGACAGATGCTTTCCGGTGAGTTCTTTTGCTTAACGTAGCGTGAGAACCGCGCCACCCTGTAAGCAGGCCTAGAAGAAGCCCCCCCCCCCAAAAAGCTCTGGCCTTGGAGATTTTGGGTGGAAAATTCCTGGGTTTATGAAAATTTAAGTCAGTTTGGACAAACTTCCCAGCTCTTCCAACCCCCGACTCGCTGCGTTCTCCAGCATTTCCCCATGTTTTAAGAGAGCCTCCGTACGCTGGCTTGACGCCATGTTTCCACCCGTGGGGAGAAGATCCTACCACCACCTAGATCCTACTACAGCTGCGCTGGTGAAGGACGCACACGACGCGGCGCCACTGGGGCCGGGGCATAACGAGAAACCTCCTTTCCAGCTGCAGATCCCAACGCGCCCGCCGCCGAGGGGGATGAGAAAGAGCAAGAGGTGGTGAATGCGATGAAGCAGCTGGTTGCAAAGGCTCCGACGCCGTGGCCTCAGGTGTTCCTCATCAGAAATCTCTGCGACATCTATGGGCTCACCTCCATGTGGAAGATCCTCCAGGTGGAGAAGTGGATGTTACCCCAAGGGGTAGAGATGTCGCAGGTGGGTTGTTCCTGAAGGGCCTTGTGCGAAAGCAGAGCGGGGGGTGGGCGTGGGATTTGTTGAGCTCAAGCCTTGTGAACTTGATTCATGGGGCTTCCTTCCACTCGAGGAGCGTGACGGGGCCCCGTAGGGTGCAGTCAACCTCTTCTTCATGCCCTTCCACGGCCTTCGTAAGGTAATGACATGCATCTGTGGTTTTTCAGGACAGAAGCACCTGGTCGAACACAACGCTGGTGTTTTCAGTGATGGACAAAACCCAAAACCAGATAAAAAGCCAACCAGAAAACCAGAGCCTGACTGTGAGTATCTGTCGTCTCTCCAACAGGAGGTTTCTGCAGTTTTGGGTCGGGAACCACTGGTTAGTCTGGAACCGTTGATTGATCTGGAACCTCCTAAAACCAGGAGGTTTCCAGCTGCATTGATGGAGAGCTGTGGCAGGTCCCTGCTGCCAGAGGACGCAAATGGGATCTTCCATGGGTGCTGGACCTCAGCAGTGAAGCCAGAAGACCCCTCACGGGGAGGTGCCATGGTGGTGGCCTTCGCTTACGTCCATTTTGCCCAACTTTTGTAGGCTGTCATGAGGCAAATGGAGAACATCCTCCAGTTGCCATCCACCCCAGACGAGCTGCTGGAAGACAAACAGAGGAAGATCATGGATGCTTTGAGCGACAGCGAAGAGCCAGGATTGCTGGAGGTGGTCTTCCACACTGCGCTCACTCTGGCCTTGTTCCCAAGCCGCATCACTCACCTCCTCAGGAACATCTGCTTTAGGCCTGACGTGGTGAAGGTAAGCCTCGAGGCCGAGGTGTCCCGCTCCCTCCACCCCCGCCCTCCTGGCGGACGGGCTTGCTGTGGTCAGCTTGTTGCTCGATAGGTTGTTGGTCCTCTTCCTTCTCGTTCCTTGGGCTGAGAAGTTACCACCACCATCCAGCCCGGTCTACTTCAAATGTGGATGAGATGTATGGTCTCCGGGAGATGCCCGTCCCTCTACTGACTGAGAGGAGCTGGGGGCCTGGCAGAGCTTTGTTGGCAGAGATGAGGCGCTTTGAAGCCCACCTCCGTCTGTCAAAGGTCTTCCATCACTCAGCTGATGGTGGAGACCTTCAGTCCTGAGCTGGGCTTCCCCTCGGGTCTGTCCACGCAGGAGTCGTTCCTGTTAGTTGAGGGCTGCAGGGAGCAACTAGGACATTGTGCTGCTTTTTTTGGAAGGGAAGGCACCAGCCACCTCTGGAGCCTCTCCCTTCCCATCAGGGCCATGTTGGGCCCATGCCGTATTCAGTTCCAGAATCAAACCTCATAAGTAATTGGGATTTGGGGGGGACTTTGCTCATTTCTGGGCACCCCAGCCTCACGGCTCCCTGCCTGCTCCACCTCGCTCCCTCCCTTGGTCCCCATTGCCTCACCAGAAGTCCCTCGCTGATGACAGCGGTCATGCAGGAGGACCCTTCCTCCCCACTGCTTGCTTTTCGAAGCAGAGTTGTTGGGAAGCGAGCTGGGAAGATGGTTACCCCACACCTCACTTGCTACCGCGTTTCCTTTCCAAGGGGTCCTACCTTCCCACCATGCCTGGAGACCTGCTTTTTGATGAGACAAACTGGAAAATTGGGCCGACAGAAAAGATTTGGGGTAAGTATTGGGCAAATCCTGCTCCTCCTGGGCATGTAGGGGACCCACCAGCAACTGACTGCGATCGGCCAGGGGATGGAGGGAAGGGCTTGAAGACTCCTGAAGGCCGTCTCTGTCCTTCTGTTGAGTCCTCCATGATCTCCACCCGGGTGGAGCAACTTTGGGCCCCTTTTTGCCAAGCTTTGTGAGAGGCACGTGGTGGGGCTGGGTGCCCAGAGGTGGGAGCCAGGCCTGTCACCCTCTCGGTCAGCTTCTGGCCACGTTCCCATCATGGAGGTTGTTGCTGGAGATGGCTAACTAACCATGTCCTCTTTCACATGTAGCTTGTCAGTGTGGATTGTGCTGGATTGTCACCGGGGTAAAGTATCTCCTTCTGTCTGGTGGCCTTTGCAGCTCTGGCTTCTTGCACTTCTCATTGCATCGTTGTCACCTCCACAGGCAAAAGCAAGGCTTGGGATGAGCTTCTCAGGTCTTCTCCTGTCTCCCAGAGGCGCCCATTCCCTTTGCACTGTGTTGAAACGCATTTTGGCCTCTTGGCCCGGCTGTTTCTACTGGGTGGCCGCTGTAGATGCTCCTCCTGCTGCCCTGCTCCTCTCCTAATGGGGACTCCAATGTCACCTCCATGGCAAGTGGCCCTTTAGCTCCAAGAGCAGTTGCAATGCTCAGAAGCCCATTGGGCTCTTCTCCAAGCCACTGGGGTGCTTCTCCAAGCCACTTGGGTGCTTCTCCAAACCAGCTGGGTGCTTCTCCAAGCCAGATGGGCTCTTCTCCCAGCCAATTGGGCTCTTCTCCCAGCGAGGCGCTAGGCTAACTGGGGCTGGGATTGGTGTCTCCCCATGGGAGCAGCAGATGGAAGTGGGTGCTTCCAGGTCTTGGTTAGTCTCCTCCCCAAATCGATGCCCAGATGTGTCCTGCTGGCTGTAGGAAGAACCTGGGTGGTCTGGAGATGTTTGCTCACAGGCGCGTGTCCCCTCCTGCCTCTTGTTAGCTGTCCCCATGGAGAAAGCCAGGTGGAGGACATGGAAACCCTCGGGTGCCTTCAGCTTTTGCTAGGTGCCTCCAGCGCCCGGCTGGGCTTCCAACCTCCTCCCTCCCCCCTCCCTCTCTGTCCAAACGCAGTGTGGGTTCCCCACGGAAGTGAAGAAATGCAGCTGCGGTGCCACCGTCGGGGGAAGGAGCCACAACCCTGAGACGGGCTTCGTGCAGAAGGACGTGTAAGTCAACCCACCCGGCTCCGCAGCCCCAGAGGGCTTCACTCGTCCACCTAACCCTCCCGCAGAGCCACGGGTGCGAGGGAAAATGCTGTGGTTGGCCAAAGCAGAGGTCTCGGTGGCCCGTGGACCCGTGGTGGGACCTGGCAAAAGGCGTGGTGGGACCTGGCAGAAGGCGTGGTGGGTGATTGCTCTTTCTGAACGCAGCACCGAGGATAAGACGGAGCGAGGGTACCTCCTGGAGAGCCCCGGCTCACGGACAAACGAGCTGGAGAGGTGCCTGTCCCCTGCCTGCGTCAGTCTGGTGAGAGCGCTGCTCCACTCATCCCTTCTGCTCGGGGTGGGCACGGACACGCAGGTGAGCGACCCCCCACCCCCCAACCCCCTCGCTTGGGAGGAGACCTTCCCCAAAGCCTCATGGAGGACCCTGCCCCCGCTTTCAGGCAGTTCTAGACCTGATGAAACACAAACCAGGGGATGTGGAAAAATTCTTCTGGGGCCACCTTGAGAAGGACATCACATACCTGGGAGAAGCACTCAGCAG